TACATATATATCACACACATACATACACATATTCACATGAGAATACATAAATATACCTACACATAGACACACATATTCACATAGACACATGCATGTATATACCATGTACACATATACATGCAAATACATATACATACACAGGTGCACACACGTACCTATGTACACATATTTTCTACATATACATAGACATATACATAGACACATATATGTACATACATGTATATACCATACATATTTAGAAATATACATATGAACACATAATATACATATATGTGTGTGTGCATATATGTGTATACATCTACACACACACAATAAGTAGGCCCTTTCTTTTGTTGTTAGAGATCTGGAGTTTGCTTTGGGGAATGGCTGCTAAATGTTGCCATTATTATGAAGGAAGATCACCAACACTGAAGGTCATTAGACAGCAACACCAGGAGTGAATGAGTGGGGTGGCTTAGAGTGCGTGCTGAACTGAGTAAGCTTCTAAATTATTAAGATGTGTGTGTATGTGTGCCTGTGAGCACTCGCTCGTGTGTGCACATGCACATGTCCTCACATGTGAAGGTCAGGGAGCAGTTGGTTCCCTCCTTCCCTTATGTGAGGTCTGGGGACCAAATTCAGGTGGCCAAGTATGCACTGAGCTATCTCCCCAGTCTCCTTCAAAGACTATTTGAATAATACCAGAAGGTGATGGTTTACAATTTATCATACCATTTGGTTTGAAACCAATTTTTGTTTCTAAAGTCAAACTAAAAGTTTGGGCCACAGTCCTACAGAGATAGTTACTGTTGGGTCCAAAGATACTCCCAAAATGGCATTGCTGGTTACAGTGTCCTAAACCTCCCTTAAAGCCCCAGGAATCTCCCTTAAACTCTCAGCTACCTTTGATGAGGGCATCTAGTTCCCAGTCAAACCTAACAGAGTATATCAACTCAAAGACCCTACTGACTGTCACATAAAATCTTGATTCTCCACCATTTCATTCCTCTCTCTGACCTTGCAAGGGACATCCTTGGCAGTTTGATCCTCAATAACCTTTCTTTCTAACCAAGCAGTGGTTCATTGTGGATTCACTGTGCCCTTAAACACACTAAGTATTTTTGTTTTATGAAAAAAAAAGTCACACTTAGGGCCATCTCTAGTCCTAACGATGGCACACATCTGAAGGTCAGTCCATAGGAATGTCACTTACCTAACCTTTGCCAGTTTGAACTTCAAGTACAGGTGGCAGGACCATCCTCCCAAGGCTTAGCCCATGAGCTGCGGCGGCAACATTGCTGCTGTCCAAGAAGATTGTGTTGTCATCAGAAAAGCCTGTCTTGAGTGACGACTCATATGACAAGTTCGGGAAAGTAAATGTATCTTATTTTTATTTCTAAAATAACACCCCAAAACATCTTTATTTACAGTTGTTTAAAAAGAAACAGTCAAAAACACATAAATAGTAAGACTTGAAACATTGTGTCAGTCTCACAAGTAAAGAAGCTAAGACCCTACAAGCCAGGTTGTTTTACTCAAGGATTACAATAGTAAGTGCCCTGAACACCTGCCCATTGGTCATTCCTTATCTTTGGGAAACATACCATGGACAAACTGCAAAGTAGATACAGTATCTCTCACATTTGACATCCAACCCCACCACTGATACTGAATCTGACCTGAGACACACACACACACACCGTCCCCAATACCCAGGATCCTTTCATGGGGGAGGATGTCTGATTCCAGAGCCACAAAGAAGCCTGGAGACGGGTGACTGAACGTAGACAACTCCACAGTCTGCCCACAAGCCATGGGCTCGCCAAGGAAACAGTAGGATAATTTGCAGCTGGATGTGAAATGCTAAAGTGAACAAAAAGTCAGCCCTTCTGAGGTTAGAGGTAGTGGGTCAGTCTTTTTAAAAGCCCACTCATCCACTGTGTGCCTCAGCTAGTTTTCCAACTTAGGTGGTGCTCCCGGCAGGAAGAGGATGTTGCTTCATTCCAGGGACGTTTGTACATCCTTCTCCTGGAGCCCTCTCCATTCCAGCAAGCAAGGCATCTCTGAGAAATAAGCATCCACGGGACAATAAGGTCAGAACACTTAGTGCAAAGAAAGATAGCCGCCATTTCCTGACAACATAGTTTGAACCGGGCAAGAGTCTAGGGCAGTGAGTGGTTCTCAACCTGCGGTCGAGACCCCCTTTAGCGCTGGACAACCCTTTCACAGGGGTCACATATCAGATATCTTGCGCATCCGATATTTATATTAGATTTCATAATGGTAGCAAAATTACAATTCTGATATTTCAACGAACTAATTTTATGGTTGGGAGCATTAAAGGGCCGCAGCATTAGGAAGGTGGAGAACCACTGTTCTAGGAGAGTTATTTTGTTTATTCCTGAAACCATCCCGGGAGGAATGTGCTATTATACCCTGATTCACAGAGGTGGAATTGCCTGAATATCAAACAATAGTAAGTCTGCTCCCTGGCTTGTGTCATCCTAATTCCTAGATCAAAGAAACCATCTTTGCTCTTCCGGGTCAGTAATTAAGTCTTTAGAATAACCCAGTGCTCTGAATTTATGTTTATGTTGTTTTCATCTATTGCTTGCTCAATAATCTTATTTCCATTGTGGAATGACCCTTGCCTGAGCCCTGCTCAGGTTTAAGTGCGCTCGAGGACCCTGAAAGAAATCTCACATAAGTTAAATGGCCTCTGTGGCAAAAGGCCGGCATCTCCTGTGACCAGCAGAGGGCGCTATGCAGCTGCGCCCTCCATAGGAATGAGATCCACCTCTCTTCATCTTCCCCTGATGGGATCTGTGGATCAGAACCTCACCTAAAACAGAGCAACCCGATTTCAGACCTCTGTCCCCTCACCGTGGGTCGCAGAACAGAGCTTCCTCAGTTCTATATTTAAACCCAGTTTTTACCTGAGACGACGGGTAAAAGGGGGCTTCCAGGAAGTTGTAGGAGCCTCTATCTCATCCCGACTCTTAATCACTGACTACTGGAGCTCAGCTCACTGTTCAGTCCGCAACCTTGCATGTGGTTTGAGAGCTACAATACTGCCTCTTATGCATGGCCTCACCACACTCCGGTTTGCACCTGTACCTTGTGCTTACCAAACACAACACCCAGTATGTTTCTGTGGTTGGACCCCTTCCCCTCTGTTGGAAGCCGCCCCCCTCCCCCATCCTTTTCCTTCCCCCTTTCCTTTCCCTCCACCCCACTCCCACCCCTCGCTTTTTAGTGCCACCAGCTCTCCATTCTTGACTTCAAAAACATCAACTACTGTGTCCTCCACGTCCCTCTATACCGATGCTTATTTGATTCCCAAGTTTTTTTCTGCCACAGTGTCAACTACTATTCCAGAACCCTCTTGATACCATGAATGTCTAGGTGTAAATTCACAGGCCCCAATTACTGAGAAAATTCAATACGGACAGAGACACCTGCAGAGCATATGCCAAGAAAGATTCGAAACTCAGTTCGCCATCTACCTCATAAGTTCAAAAATAGAACTGAAAATCAAAGAATAATATAGAGTGGACCTTGTGGGCAGGTATGCTCCCCCAGCCTCCCAGCCATTCTCTCGTACAGATCTAAATCTTCCTGAACACTGGCATAGTGCGTCCCCTGTCTCGAGGTCCACCCCTTTCTCAAGACTAAGCGAGTGAGCCCTGCCAACTGGAGAAAGAGCCTCAACCACAGTTGTCCTCTCCAGAATAACTAGATAAAGAATTCCCAGAAGTCTCCTCCTGCAGACAGGATCTAAGATCACTGTCAACTGAGACTGTGCTAGAAAGGCCAGCCCTGGTTTTCTATTATGACAGATTAATTATAATATAATGGAGTTCATTATGCCATTTTGTACTTGCATACAATATATTTTGGTCATGTCCAGCCGTTCCCTTTTACTATTGTTTGATCCTCTCCTGAGTCTTTTTGTTTGATGTTTTTTGGTTGAATTTTGTCTTTTGTGTTGTTTTTGTGTTTTGGTTTTGTTTGTTTGTTTGTTTGTTTGAGACAGTCTCACTATGTAGTGATACCTGGACTGGAACTAACTATGTAAACCAGGCTGGCCTTGAACTCCCAGAGATCTGACTTCCTCTGCCTCCTGAATGCTGGGACTAAGGACCTGACACCCCTCTCTCATTCTGCTCATGACCTCCAACTAACGTCCCTTTCACCGCCTCTCCTTTCTGAGGTTCATCTGAATTAGTGACAGGTTGCAAATTGTTCTACCGTGGGTAAATCCCACAGCCTAGAGAATGGCCACAGACAGTAGAAGTCAGCTTTTTAAATATTAAATCCAAACATAAGAGGGCTCGAGTACCCCCTTGCCAGTTAGTTTTACCTAGCTGTGCCAAGTCATGACACAACCTAGAATCAGTCACCTGAGAAGAGCCTTAATGAACAATTATCTAGATCAGATTGGCCTGTGGGCATCTCTGTGAGGCATTGTTTTGATTATAGGTTGGCGTGAGAGTACTCAGCCCATTATGGACTGCACCATTCTGTAGGCAGAAGATCCTGAACGCTACAAAAGAGGAGAGAGCATGCTGAGAGCAAGCAAGCAAACAAGCAAACATCCATGTGTGTTCTCTCTCTGCTCTTGACTGTGTAATGATTCTTTAACATCCTGTCTTGGCTTCCTCAAAATAATGAACTGTAACCTAAAACTTTAAATCAATAAACCACTTCCCCCTAAGCTGTGTTCTTATTCTTATTGTGTGCTTTACTGTGGTGGATAGCCCCGGCCATGTATTTTGATACTAATTCCCCTTTCCTGTGAAGGGCTGCACAGGAGGTGTGAGTCATTACACAGGTAATTTCTAGTGAACCTTCTGCCCATCTTAATTTGTAAAATAAAGGCTGGAGCCAATGATTGGGCAGAGGAAGGGGAGGTGGAGAAATAAAGGCTGGTGGGAAGAGGGGGGGGGGAATGGAGGAAGAAAACAATGAAAGAGGACGACTGGGAAGCAGGAGGTAGAAGGAGAGACACAGGGTCTGGAAAATCCTCAAGTTATAAGGGTCTCATAGCTGGGGAACAGAGTAGTGTAGGGGTATCTGCCCAATCTAGGCTTACAGAATATATTCATAATTACTGATTTGTGTTTTCATTGACCAGTCAAATTTGGGTTAGAGATTTAAATATCTCCCACAACACTTTATCACAGCAACAGAAGTTAAACTAGACCAGACTACTTGACAGTGTGTTCCCTCCCTAGCTTTCCTAGTACCTATTAGTCTACATAGACAAGCCCCCCCATCTCTCTCTCTCTCTTTCTCTCTCTCTCTCTCTCTCTCTCTCTCTCTCTCCCTCTCTCTCTCCTCTTCCTGAGACCTTACGCCAAAGTCCTATACCAGCATGTCAAGTTTGTGGAATTTGTCGTAGAGAAAACTTGACAAGACTTTTTTGAACTCAGAGTACCTCTGCTCCTTCCACTAAACTGTTTCAAACCGTTCCCTGAACCATGCCTCAAGAAGGAAAAAAATTAATAAGTAAAAGAAGTCAAGGCAGATGCCAGATGATGGAATAATGGCTCACACTCAGCTGTGTACATGTAGAAGCCCTATGGAAACTTTTCCAAGACGAGATCTGATGCCGCCATGTTTACCCTGCACCTGCTATAATTACTAGTGGCCCAGTTTCTGGCTGCTGTTTTGTAACTTAATCACATCTTCGGGGCCACCTAACATTTCTTCCCACCCCATTTTACCTGTGTAGAAAAAACGTCTCAAGGGTCAACTGTGAATAAGAGGTAGTTGCCACATGTCTGCCCACACCCTCTTAGTAATAATTCTGGGCCCCACTTCACACAGGAGAAGCAGGAGTTCCTGTTGTTTTGCGACTTTTTTTTTTTGATATTTTATTTATTTACATTTCAGATGTTATCCCTTTTCCCCATCCTCCCAAAAACCCCCTATCCCATCCCCCTCCTCCGTTTTAGCTTTTATACCATTTTAATTTCATGCAAGTATTAAGGTCAGGTTTTTCAACTTTAGTCAATCAATGCTTTGTGTCAGCAGCAGAGCTGCTGTAAGTGGCAAAATCAGTTCACAAGAAAGAACTAAACCATGCTTTAACAATGAACAGCAGTGAATGCATAGACTCACAACAGCTCAAGATGCAGAAAAGAAGCAGAAGTAGTAGCCTCAGCTCTCAATAAGACATTGACACCGCATCTCTAAGGCTTGGGGAAGATTGTAGAAGAGGGTGGAGGTCTTCAAAATGTCATTCTCTAGAGTCTAGACGAAGCTATACAAACTGCAACCATCAGCTCACAACAGCTGCAGATACCTGCACTTGGATAGGCCCTATCAACAATCAGTCATGGAAAGGGGAGGGACTTACGATCCCCTACCCTTTGCCTCTGAACTACTGGCTATTAATAGATTCTGGAAGAGAGAGAATCATTGTCTCTAGTGAGCCCACCCGGTTCTCGTGATTAGCTCCAAGCCCATGGTCACTGGCAGCCCTAGTTGAGTGTAGTGATTCAGAAGACAAAACTAATAGGCATGACTATGAGAGGTTTGTGGGGTCCTCCTCTACAGCTCCAGCACCGTAGCCATCATGAATGACGCGGTAACCATCCGGACCAGGAAGTTCATGACAAACCGTCTGCTTCAAAGGAAACAAATGGTCATTGATGTCCTTCATCCTGGGAAGGCAACAGTACCAAAGACAGAAATTTGGGAAAAGCTGGCCAAAATGTACAAAACCACACCAGACGTCATCTTTGTATTCAGATTCAGAACACACTTCGGTGGTGGCAAGACAACTGGCTTTGGCATGATCTATGACTCTTAGATTATCCAAAGAAGAATGAGCCTAAACACAGGCTTGCAAGACATGGCGTTTATGAGAAGAAAAAGACCTCCCAAAAACAGCGAAAGGAATGCAAGAACAGGATGAAGAAGGTCAGGGGGACTGCAAGGGCCAATGTTGGTGCTGGCAAAAAGCCAAAGGAGTAGGTCTGCGGTGACTTGATGTTCTGTTGTGATGTGCAGATTTCTGAGAGAACAAATAAACTAAAAAGCTTCTATGTTAAAAAGAGAGAGAGAGGTGTGTGGGGACAGATGAGGGTGACAAGTGAGGTAAGAAGGTAAGAGGTAACAGCCATGGTCAATGTTCATTGCCTACATGTACAAAACTGTCAAGGAGCAGACTTAACTAATGAAGAAAATAAGTACTTTTAAAGGAAATCAAGGTGTGTGAGCTCGGCAGATGGCTCAGTGCACCAGACCTCAGCACAAATAAGGTTACAGCGTCTCCTTACCAAGGACACAACAATGAGGCCTGGTCGTAGACATTCCGCTGATGCAGGTCTCAAAGAAGTTTTTTTTTCCATTTTCATTTTTGTGCCGAGCTATAGAAAAAGTCTCTTCTGATAGTCCTGTTATTCTGTTCCCTCTCAACCTGACCCAGTAACTTGTAGTGGTCACCAGCTCACTCACAAGTGGTTCAGTGACACTCAAAAGTAAAGTTTCTACTTAAGTTTTCAATACTCACATTTTAGTCTCAGCGATTCAGTATTCTGGATCCATTTGCTGGACTTAATGACACCTTCTAAATGGGATGAAAGCATCAGAGTTGACAATGGATAATGATACTATAAAAAAAAACTATGTATATTCTTAGATTAATGTGAAAACTGCCTAAAGATAATAGTGTGAAAATGAAATTATGAAATATCCAAATTGATACAGCCACAAAGGATTTAATTGCTGTATTTCACTGAATGTAACATTATGAGTGATCTTGTCTTTATTTTGCTTTTTTAAATAATGATGTAAAACCAGTCAGTTAAGACACCACCTACTTTAAAACTGATGAGCTGTGATACTAAAAGTCAGGCTCGGAAACAGCCATAGATGGTGCTTCTCAATACATCCAGAAAATCTATTCCCAAAGCTCTGAGGGATAATCTACTGGTTGAACAAATAATTTTTAACAGATGCATAAATTTTGACACTCTACTTATGGCCTTAAAAGACATATTGTCCCCTTCAAAGTCTTCATTACAGTCAGTAAGGCATTGTTATTCCAGTCCAAGGAAATGTGATCTATTGGAAAAAGTCCTGGACATGGAGGATGGGCATTTGGTTGGCATTGATTCTGCTTCTAATGAGATGGATGGCATTGCACACACGTCACTAAATTCTCAACTAAACTCCTCACCTGTGAAATAAGGAGGTTAAACCAAAATCTTATTTTTAACTCAACTCTCATTTCCCAGATCCCAACATTTATAAATCTCTGGTCCTGGATTCATCTCAATGGCCCCATGTCAGGCTACAATGAATGCATGCACATACTAAATTCCCTTCAAAGGTATCTTCTGCTAGCTTTTCATTTCGTGTGATCCTCCATGCTTGTGAAATGAGAAAAGAGCGATTCATTTTGCTAACAAATACTGAGTGTTGGGCTCTGGCATCCATCTCTGCATGAGCAGAGACCCTTTGGTGGTCGCTAGAAGAGACCTTACCTCTGCTGCCCTCGATTTCCCCTTCAATGAAGATACCCTCATCCTCAGAGCATCCCTTATCTGAAAAGCAATGACAGTTAGTGGTCAACAGGTGTCAAGGGAAGCAGCATCATTCCAAAGTACAGACACATGGACCAGAAGAGTGACTCTGGCCAGAGCAACATAAGGTGGCTCAGCACAGCACCTAGTAAGCAACCAGATTTAGGTAAAAGTTGAAAGGTGATAACAGCAATCCACAAAACCATTTTCAAATTGTGGCCATGGTTTCTGTTCTTTTTACATACAACATCTGGTAGCAATCTCTACTTCTATGATCTCTTGATTATAAACAAGCACAGAGAGTATGGGCTTCTTTTCTTTCTTCCACACAGATGATGCCTTGAGCTGAGCTCACAAGCTCAGCAACTCTGGATTCACTCCAGTTAAAATGATTTGACCCTTCTGCTTTCCTCAGCCACACGGAATTGAATGGAGTAATGAATGAAGCAAATTCAATTTACCTTGTGATCCATAATGGTACCAAACAGCAAGATGAAAAAGCCCTGTGGTAAATTCAACAGAATCATGAGAGATAGCTTCTCAAACAGTATCCCAGTTTTATTTTAACCCACCGCCCCTACCCTTGCCCTTGTCCCAGATAATTGGTGTATGGGGATAATTGGTGTATTATTTGTTTGTTTGTTTGTTTGCTTGCTTGCTTGCTTGCTTGCTTGCTTTGAAAGATTGCCCTGTCCTGCCCCTGGCTGACACAGTTTGGATCCTGAACCCGAATGTCCCAATGTTGTATCAATTTCTGAATAAAAATACTTTTGCTGGCTCAAACTTGTTTTTTATAGTGGAGTATTTTCCAAATTCTCAGACCCTAACCAGAGAGAAGGAAAGAATGAAATCATTAGTTACCAGAGTAACTTTCAGAGTGGGAAAATCAAGCATGATTAGTAGCTCACACCTATAATCCCATCACTCCAGAGGCTGGAGCAAGAAAACCATTATGAGTTTGAGGATAGCCTGGGCTAAAGGGCAAGATCTTTTCTCAAATTTTTATAATAAAACAGGGATCCAGAGATATGATCAGCAGTTCAGAGTGGTGGTTACTCTTGCAAAGGACTGGGGCTCAGTTCCCAGCACCCACATAGCTGCTTCCAACCGTATGTAACTCCAATCCAGGGGATCATATGCCTTCTTCTGGCCTTCGTGGGCACTACATAATTGCAGGCAAAATATCCAAACACACAAAAATCAAAAATAAAGGGAAAAAAAACTTTTTACTTCAGGCAGAAAGTGTGGAGAAATGTCTGTCAATCAAGAGCTTTTGAGTTTAAGGGAGGGGAAAAATATTTAATGCTTCCTCTTTAAAGCAATACAACAGGAAGAGTGAAATGGGTATAGTCCGTAGTTAAAGAACGAGTAAGACACACAAGTGACCTAAACTGGCCTTTCTTTAGAGTCTGTGCTAAGTTTGTGCTTCCTGTGGTGCCTCTAAGTACTAGAGACCGGTCAACAGAAACACTTCGCTATTTTATTGAATAGTTGCAATATTTAAAGTGAAAGCTGGAAAACTTTTTTCCAAACACCAGATAGTCAATATTTACACTTTGATAGCCATACCCCTCCGTTGCAACTACACAAATGTGTAATTCTAGCTCAAGTGAGCCCTGAGGGAAACATAAATAAATGGGTAAGGCCATGTTTCAGAAAAACCCTATTACAAGAACAGGCAGAAGACTGAGGTTTTAGCCCTGATTGAAAGTGTAATGAGACTGTGAATCTGACAGGGTTTCTATTTGGTAGAGAAAGAAATCTGATTAAATGAGAGCATGTCCAAACTTCAAGCTGTGAATGAAGAGGGAGAGTAAAATATCGTTCACAGGGACCATCTTGTCAGAGCATGTATGCTACAGTAGGACAAGGGAGCTCATGCCACATCCAAACCCTTATTTTACCAGTTGAGAAGGCTGAGACCTGGTGGGAAATGCCCCCCACCAAGACCAGATAGTATAGGACAAGTTGCTATAAATAGCAACTAACTTCTATTTCACAAGAAATGGCAAGAAAGAAGTATAAGAACTCCTGACCGGTCAACTCCCAAAGTGAAGGACAATGGTCATCTCTTTACACTACAGAAAATGTCTATTTTGCTGAGTTCCCTGGAGAAGGACAACATCATGCTTATTTTGATCAGGGAGCAACTTTTTACACCCATGACCAAAGGACAGTCATCTATGTGAGAAGGTTAACATCTGACTTGATAGGAGGAACCAAGGTCTTCGACAGAAAAGGAAGGACATTCTCCTCCCATGGTCTGGTCAAATAACTCCAGCCTCACGAGTGGACAAGTAACTCACACCTATAATATCAACATACAGGGGCTGAGACAAGCAGGCAGCTACAAGTTTGAGGTCACTCTGGCTACAGAATGAGATCCTATCTCAAAAAGAAAAACCTTTTTGAAAATGGGGGGAGGGGCCAGGTGAGATGGCTTAGTGGGTGAAGGCCATTGTCACCAAACCTGATGACAGGAGTTCAGTCCACAGGATGGATCTGCATGATTCAGAAAAAGAACCGACTCCTGTAAGTCATCCTCTAACCTACACATGTGGTCTGTGACAGGCATAAAACCCCACACATACATGCATGTGGAGTGTGCACATAATAAACAGACAGACAGACAGACAGATACATACATACATACATACATACATACATACATAGGTACATAGATAGGTAGATACATAGATAGACAGATACATAGATAGATACAAAGATACATAGATGGATATTCTTGTATTTTTGGTTGTGAGCCTAGTCTTTAATGGCTGAGCCATCTCTCCAGGCCATAGATAGATATTCTTAAGTGGGGAAACATTATCAGTGCAAATGGGAGAAGCTATACTGAGACAGCCCTGGAATATAGGAAGAACACTTGATACTTTTTAATGGTAAATAAATCATAGCCATCCTTTGATGTCTAGCCAGAAATACAAAGCAAATCCCCCTCCTATAACTTACCTGGAAAGCATTGAGCAAGGCGAAGATTATATGGAATACTAAGTGTGTGCCTTCTAGCAGGGTTGTTAGACCAAAACCCCAGGTCAGTCCCAGAAGTGGGGTGAGGATGGCAACATTTTTGCTAATCCTGAAAATGATAGCCATATCCTGAGATTTTGAACTGCCAATCAAGGGCCTCTGTGTGTTAATAGCAACTGTCAGAACCACAAGGAGATTCACAGCCACAATGGCCAAAGCTGGGATGGCAAAAGCAAAAAGGGCTTTGGTTTGGTTCCAATTAAGCCAACAGGCATCTTTTCTGGTGTAGCCTTCCCCAGGCTCTGTGACAGTAACTGTAATGACTGAGATCACAAGGGGACACCCATAGCCAATGACAAAGCCAATGGCCATCATCCGAGACTTCATCATCCTGCGGAAAACGACCAGTATGCCGTAGACTATGAGCAGGGCTTTGAAGAGCATCCAGAAGAACAGGGAGAGGAAGAAGAAGTGGCAGAAAAATGTCACAGCCACACACCACTTGTGATCCTCCTGAGCATTGGCGCTGAAGTTGGAGCCAATGATGAACCACACATTTGCAGTCAGGAGGGACACAGCGATGTTCACGATGCATACATGGCGCATGTAGGATATCTCTGTCACAACCACACGAGACCAAACGATGGCTTCGATGACCAGGCAGAGCACCAAGCTAAAGATGGAGACGCTGAGTCCGATGAAGGTGATATAGTTCAGAATCATGTCCTTCATAGGCTTAGAAGACATGAGAATAGAGAAGGACACCACAGCTTTGGTGTGCCTGCACCGACATTTCACTGTGCTGTTGATGTCTGACATCACTGTACACGGGCTCTCATCCCACTGCCTTTTGTCAGGATCCCAGCTGACACACTGGCTGCTGGTGCTCTGGGATTTATTGATTTTATCAAAGGTGAGTATGATTTCATTCAGACCTTCTGGCAAAACCAGTGATAGGATCAGGTCATTTATGGGCTTTTGGAGACTCGTATTTGGCGGATGGATTTCTTTTAGAATGGCCCCCAAGGATGGAAAAGCTGTGGCAATGGCTTGGGAGGCATTGGACGGCAGCTCCTGTAATGCTTGCCTAGGAATTTCGATCACCACTAAGACATCTTCTGTAGCGTTGTACCTGGGAACAGAGAGGCTGAGGCTGTTCTCTGAGGTACCGTGAGAGATACGAGCGCCTTTCGTCTGAATGAAGAGTTCATCTACAATGCTCTCGGATTTTCCTTGGATTTGGAGTTTCTTGGCAAAAGAGTTCACTGACTCCAACAGATCTGAGCTGGCATTTTTGTTGGGAATGAAAGCCCAGTTTGAAATGGCAGTGGGACCGAGGATGTGGTTGGCCATTTTTCCACAGTTCTGCAATGGAAACAAGCCTGTTAGTGTAAAAAGGTCAGTTTCTAAAATCTGAAACTTCGGCAGATCTATTTATTTCATCTTATTTGATACCTGCCTCTTTAAATTCACTACTTATTGCAAATGTAATAAGTAATGCATTAGTAAGGCTAATGGAAGAAAATTAAAAGGCTATAAAGAATATGTTGTCCTGGCTAGTTTTATGTCAACCTGACACAAGCTAGAGTCATCTGAAAGGAGGGAACCTCAATTGAAAAATATGTTTCCATAAAATCCAGCTAAAGGGCATTTTCTTAATTAGTGATTGATGTGGGAGAGCCTAGCCCATTGTGGGTGGGGCCATCTGTGGACTGGTGGTCCTAGGTTCTATAAGAAAGCAGGCTGAGAAAGTCATGATGAACAAGCCAATAGGCAGCATCCCTCTATGGCCTCTGCATCAGTTCCTAACTCTAGGATCCTACCTTGTTTTTGTTTCTTGTCCTGGCTTCCTTCAGATGATGGACTATGATGTGGATGTTTATGCCAAACAAACCCTTTCCTCCCTAACTTGCTTTTTGATCATGGTATTTCATCAGAGGAATAGAAACCCTAACTACAACAGCAGCTGAGGGCATTATCTGCTCTTGCAGAGGTCCCAAGATCAGTTGCTGGTAGTCACATACCAGTTTACAACCGTCTGTAACTCCAGATCCAGTTCTGGCCTCTGAAGGCACTGCACACATAGTATACAGACATACATTCAGACAAAACACCCATACACATAAAAAAAATAAATCTTTTGAAAAGCACATATATATATATTACATATACATATAAACATATGCATTATTATATGTGCATGTTATACATATACTATATGCATATATATCATACATATACATATATGAAACATATGTATCATATATACATATATATGTTTATCTCATTATTATTATTAGATATGAGGAAGATCTTCACAATACAAGATGTAGAATTCAAGTTTCATAAAATGTGAATGATTGTCTTATGGAAGGAAGTGTCTGTGTATTTCATGATGAGTTTTAGAAATACTACATACATACCATATCTCTGTATCCCTCCATTCAGTACTAAACTCTAAACGCTCCTGAGCACACTAAAGTCTCTGAGAAGCTGACCCGGGTTTTGCTGGAATAGCTCTCAATTAAGAGAGTGCTTTACTAACATACATGTACTTTAGGGTTCCCTTCCCAATGCTACAAAGACTGACTGGGGTAATGCATATCTGAAAATCCCAGTACTGGGGAGGTACAGGCAGGAGTATCAGAAGTACAAAATGCCTCAGATATATAGGAAGTTTGAAGGTAGCCTGGGCTACATTAAACTTTGTCTCAAAAATTGAAACCAAAAGACCCATCCTAGGGTAACACATTTAACTTTTAACACACAGCTTCTAACTACTGCTGTGATATACAACTCCCTTCTGAAAATGACATGATCTACTAGGGTAGACCTGGTCTATGGCCATTGCTCTGTATCAAATATCTAATATTCATAAAGCACGCTGAACAGAAGTGTCTGCTGCTATTGTTATGGTTCTTGTACATTTTACCCTGAAAAGGACGTCTGAAACTGTTAAAAATGGAAGATTTAAGAAAAGTCAGGTCTGTGTTCAGTGAGATTAGTTTGTTTAAGTACCTTCATTTTCTTCCAAGTCACACTACCATGTATCCCAGAGGTTTGCCAGTCTGAAGAGATATTTTTTAATAACTCGACTATGAATGCAATATTTCCAGATGTAACTACAGAGGATTTCACAGCATCGACGATGCAGACATAGTCCTCAGGGCAGTACTTTCGGATTCCTTGAGATACATTCCTAATACGGACTGGTTCTGTATTGCCAATTAAGTTCATGGGGAAAACAGAAGATGATGCCAAGGATAGGCTAGTTGCAGGATGTGTGTGCTGCGTAAAAAAAAAAAAACAATAATAATAATAAACCAATATGCATTAGACGAAAGGAACTAAACAACACACAAGCCCCATGGGAAAAACAGATGACAAGAAGGCAGTCCTAAAAGGAGCTCACTTCCTGGGAATAATTTAAGGCAGCCACAGAAGGCCTGGCTATCACCAAAATTCTCGGAGATCAAACTAGTGACCCTCTTTAAAATTTGCTTTCAGAACAATGGTTTAAACTGAAGTGTGTGTGTGTGTGTGTGTGTGTATGTGTGTGTGTGATGTATACATGCACATGCTCATGTGCATACATGTCACACAGTGGAGCGTACCCTCACCTGTGTATGCACATATGGACATCAAGAGTCAACGTCAGATGTGTTCCTCAATCAACTTCTCGACTTTATAATTTTTTAAGATTTCTTTTATTTTTAATTATGAATACCTATGTACATCTTGGTGTGGGTAGGTGCACATCACCTCAGGTGTCTGGGGAGGAAATTGGCTTTCTTTAGAGCTAGAGTTACAAGCAGTTGTGGGCCTTCCTACCTGGGTGCTGGGAACCAAAATCTGGGCCTCTGAAAGGGCAGTAAGATTTTTTTAACCTCTGAGTCATCGCTCCAGCTCTTTGATCTTTAAGACAAGGTCTCTCTCTCTAAACTTGGAGCTCATTGTTTTTCTAGGCTGACTGAGCAGCAAACACAGGGATCTCCCCCGTACTAAAGTTACAGGTACACAGGGCATTTACAGAGGTGCTGATTTCTGAAACCACACCTTCATGGTTACTGGCATGGCAAGCACTGTAGCCACTATACCATCACCCGACGCCTTTAACACAAATTCTACAGAAGTGGGGGGAGGGGAGAAGGAAGATCTAGGTGGAATTTCAAAGAAGAGTTGTTTGGGAAGGTTAGCTGTTCAAATGCCACATACTGAAGAATTGCAATTTCTAAAAGAAAAAAAAAATGTACATTTTCCGAATTGTAAGTTAGTTGACCATTTCCTGCTATTTTTACCTATACTCCTTCAGAAAGTGACTTTGAATAAGCAAGTGCTTTCACTCCCTCATGCCTATCTGTGTAGTTACAGGGACTTCACCATGATTGTCTATGCTGTGAAAGTCATACCACCCGAAATCTTTTTATAAAACTACCATTAAATACAAAAGTGTGGAGATCCATATGCTTCAGTGGGATTGGAGAGAAAGAGAAAAAACTGGGTGCAGAGGAGAAGAAGTATATGAGAAAGATTTTTATCGTAATTGAGACATGTAGGGGCCATTGAATTCTTATTCCTTCTGTGTTCTGTTTTAGTTAAAGGATTGAAAGCATTAGAAGTCACGTTTAATTTAATCCAAGACATATTTAGTTGATTAATTAATACAAGAGGCATATAAATCCACCCATAAAGCTAAGCCGACAGTTCTGAGCTGCCATTTGCGGGTAGTTTAAATAACTGTTACTTAATTTGTTTAACCTCTCGTTTCCAAGGTTTGGACACAATCTCATTTCTCTGCTGAACTTCTCACCCATGGCTAGAATTGATTCTTTATGGGAGGAATAGGAAGAATGTCAGGAGAGAGGTGAGGATATCAGTGTGTGAGTAAGGAAAGATGCCATGAGGTAGGTGCAAGCCACCAGATAGCTTTCTCCAAGTCCAAGCCTGAGACTCACTGCCATTTAGAACAGATAGAAATGAAAGAGAACCTCCCCCCAACTCTGAAAGGGTTGGCTCCTGTCACCAGGAATATACCAGAGCATCACCTGAAACAAGGCCTCCACAGAGAGACTGGTGCATGTTTCGATTGTTTTTTGCCATTTGTTTTGGTTACATGTGAATACGATTTCTCCACGGAAGTTCCAAGGACAGCTCTGGTTACAGCTGGAAGAAGAGCTGCATGGTCCATCACATTTACCTGAAAGCAGGGCGAGAGAGAAAAAAAACAGAGAGAAAAACAGCAAGTCAGTGATCAAATTACCACTTCCACACTCTGACAAATGCGTCTAGTGCATTCTGGGACTTTATGAATAGTTGGCCAAGGAGATGACATCAAATTGCCTTTCCAGAGACAAGAAAAATCTGTGTGATCGATGGTGAAGTTAGTGTCCAGAGAGAGTGAGAAGGAAGTAGAAAAAGGGACCTAGGGTGTCCCAAACCCCTACTGAGAACCCCATCACATGGCAGAAAAAGAAGAGACAATAGGGAAGACCAGAACAGCTTCTAATTCTACAGTGGTTCAAGTGAGAAATGTACACCAATGAGCTCATGTATTTGAACTTGGTCTTTGGTTGATTGCATTGTTTGGGGACATTATGGAACTTCTAGGATGCTAAGTGTTACTGGAGAACTTGTGTTATAGAGGGCAGGCATTGAGAATACATAGCCTCACCCCAATTCCCAATTCCATGTTGCCCTCTCTGGTTGAAAATGTGACCTCTCAACTTCCTGAGAGGTCTGGCTGCCTGCTACCATACCTCCACCACGATTACAGACTCTCCCTCTGGAACTGAAAGCCCAAATAAACTCTCTCTTGTAGCTGTGTGTTATGTGTATGTTTTTCCTTTTGTGTGTGTGTGTGTGTGTGTGTGTGTGTGTGTGTGTATGTTGTGTGTGTGTGTATGTGTGTGTGTGTGTGTGCTTCCTCCCACCCCCTGCTCCTGAAATAGTGTCTCGAAGACTCAAATATATTTACAAATACCTGGGCCAAAATCTTTGGCAGTTCCCTGACTAGCTCATCAGTTAACCGACCCATTATTTTATTTTAAGTTCTGCCACGTGGCTGGTTACCTGATTCTCAGCTTTTTGCTGCTGTCTCTCCATCACCATTTCAAGGCCAAGTTCATACTGTATCTATCCCAGAATCCTACCCCCATCCCTTTCCCTCTCTCTCTCTCTCTCTCTCTCTCTCTCTCTCTCTCTCTCTCTCTCTCTTTTTCTGTGCTAGAATTCTACCTTCTAATTTCCTGCCTAAGCTCATTGGCCAATCAGCTTTTTATTGACAGGTAGAAGCTTTTACACAGTGCCCAGGAGATTCTTTCTACACTTACACTCTCTTCTAGAAGTTGCCGTTGGTTATGGTGTTTTGTCACAGCAACAAGTGGTAATTAACACCAATACTGAACAGAAAACTTGATTGCATATGTGTCTGAAAGAGAACTGATGGGCACACAGAGCAGGAGGCAGTGAACTTTCCTGAGCAGAGCTATACAAATAGAGCTGGCAGGTAAGAAGTAGGGAATGTTCATAATCTTAATTATCCTTTTAACCACAGTCACCTGCCATTAGGCACTGAAGATACTTTCTAGATAGTCACCATGAATACTGAATTAGCAAGTACTGATCTACTGTTCTAGAGGAATACAGGTCCTCTGCAAAAGCACCCAGACCTCTTAACTCCTGAGCCATCTCTCTAGAACACCTGCAGAGTAAATATTTGCAGCTTTCTTGCTCTTGGTCTCTGTGTCATCTACTCAACAATTGTTTTCATTTTGAAAGCAACTAAAGACAAAAGAGAAGTGACATGGCCCATGCTCTGATAAAACTTGATCTTTACAAAAATTTTTGGTATGTCAACTTGGCTCATGGGTCAGCCTGGGTTATAAGCTTCAGTGTTGAATGATGTAGCCGTTGAAGTATTTCTAGAAGAATCTCCAAAGGATAATGCTCATAGAACAGAAAGAAGTAGATGAGAGCTCCACATGGTGATGCACCCTTGAAATTTCAGTACTTGTGAGGGAGAATCAAGAGAATAGCCCTGAGTTCAAGGCCAGCCTGGGCTACATAGTAAGTTTAAGTTCTAAGTTAAATAGCAAAAGCCTGTCTCAAAAGAAAAAAGAAAAGGAAATCAGGGAGAAGAAGTAAAGTTGAGAGATATTACAGTGTTGAAATCAGTAAAAATGGGAAAACATTTCATAGAGAATGAAGGTGTGCCACCATGTTTATAACCTGGGCAGCTCTGGGTGTAACTCCACTCCCTGGCAAAGGAGGTAAGTAGGTTTGTATTTTGCCCTGACATCTATCCAGTATACTTATGTTGGCTAGTTCATAAACTAGAACAGTACTTAATTTCTTCATCCACTCGTTAGAGATGGTGCCATGGTGCTGTTGCAGATATGTAATGGGGAAACATCTCGTATTACACGTAATGTTTAAATACCTAGCAACTGTTAGCTTCCTATCTGTTCCCCTTCCCTTCCCAAGTGTAGAGAGCCGTGGAAAGCAGAGACATCTCTGGCAATCCGATGCTCTCACAAGTTCTGTAATTTACTGTCTTTGTGTAAGGGGAAAGCGCGCGAAGTCACAAGCCCTTCCCGGGGCATATAGGATTTTATGGGCAATTAACCAACCAGATATGTACACATCACTCCAGGGGATATTTAACCAGGGACTTCTCGGGGCTCGGGGCCTTTTCTCCCAGCCGGTTTCCACCAGCCGGCCTTTTCCCAGCGGGTCTTTTCTCTATAACATCGTAATAAAGATCTGCTGAAGAACTTTGGTGTCTGTGTGATCTCGCAGGCGAGTCCACGCCACCGACACCCAAGACCACATTTCTATAGATAGATGTGCCACTGGACTTAAATCTGGCCATGCAGAATACAATGACCCAAAATGCTTGAGTGAAGCCACGTATTACAATGTTAGTAATGATCATGTTCTTATTCCTCTGCTTCAGGAGTGTGACCAGTCTTACCATCATCAAATTGCCTTGCTTTGCTTTACTAGAACCCTCAGCACCAATGTGTTGCGTACATTTAAGAGTCCTGACTATACCTTTGAAGGAAAGAATGCTGCCCTCTTGCCCTGTCTTGAGTTTAACAAACTTATTTCCCTTTTAAGTTCCTAAATGGAAATCTGTCTACTATTTTAGAGCATGTATGAATATTTATCTATTTGTTCGATTGGTTATGTGATGAATGAAAAATCTATCAGTGCTGGTAAACACGGGGAATTTATGAGAAGTTAATATTGCATTGGAAAGCGTGAGGTCTGGAGACATGCTTGAGTGTCTGTCTACTTCTCTTCTCTTGCCCCATTTCCAAATGAATGAAGACTATTGTATAGCTACACATACCTTGTATTGGCCTAAACTCATGCTTCTGTAGAGATATTTGAAATTTATCTTCATCCTGAAAAATATAAATTCCCAAGAACAATGTACTGTGAGACATTCTCTCTCAGCACAACTTAAAGGATCCATGTAAACATAAAGAAGAAAGGCATTCAAGACTAGGAAGGAAACTGTGGGAGACTCATGGGATGGGTCTGAGGGCAGTTGCTAGAAGGACACAAGTGAGGACATACTCGTCCCTAATGATGGCTAACCTGGAAATCACTTGAGCTAGGAAGGTCAAGTTAGTGGATGGAATACATCTCTTGTAGTTTTAAGGATCCTGAGAGAACACAGAAATGGCAATTACACTATCAAGTCTCTGCCCATCTTTACTGCATGGATGAAATACAGCTAAGGAGAAACCCCAGACACTATAAATGTATCCTTAAAGGGATGAAAGAAATAAAAACTTAGAATGTTCATTGGGTTACAATAATCAAATCATAAATCTTTTATATGAGTAAAGGAATATAAGTATTACCTTGAAGTATAAACTTTGATATGATAAAAAAAAAATATGTAAGATAAAGCAAAACAACTCCCAGAGCCAGTAAAACCTAAAGAAAGATCTGAATCTAAATTGTTCTTTTGACAGCTTAGGTCTTTCTCCTCTGGAGAGCTGCTACCTGTATGCAATCTCTGTGGCTTGCCAAGTGATTGCCACACTGAACTGCTGCCTCCTGGACCATTTCCTGTCACCTCTTAACTTTTGCTATTGTTAGATTTGCTTGTTTGTTTGTTTTTTGTTTGTTTGTTTTGAATTTTTTAAAAAAATATTTGTATATCTAGACATCTAGGGGAACTGAGGAATTTCTCTTGGGATCACACAGGGAGAGATCAAACTTACTTTTCTGTGAATCTTGGGTTTGGAATGAGAACATTCTATTGTCAGAAAAACCATTAAACAGCAAACCATGGTGATCCAGGCCCTCATTTTTCACACACAGGAATCTTAACCTGCAACAGAAAAGGAAGAAGGTAGATGAGGCTGAGTGTGACAAACTCCCTCAGCCTACTCAGCACACAGTGGGGTGAACCACTTTCCAGAGTCCTGGGGAACAGGAAAGTCAACCGAGAAAATTACTCCATCAGGTTGGCCAATGGACAGGTCTGTGGGGGTTTTTGTGATTGATGATTGATATAAGAAGTACCAGGCCACCATGAACGGCTCCACCCCTGGGCAGATCCTGGGTTGTATAGAAAAGCAGGCTGAGCGAGCCATAGAGAGCAAGCCAGAAATCCATGTTCCTCCATTACCTCTACTTCGTTTCCTCTTCTTGACTTTCCTCCCTGCCCAGGCTTCCCTTCATGGTGGACTGTGGTTGGGAAGCGAAAGGTAGATAAACCTTTCCCTCCTCCTGTTGCTTTTGTCCAGAACACTTATTACAAACTGACCTTAATACTTGCATGTAATTAAAATGGTATAAGCCGAGCGCTGGTGGCACACACTTTTAATCCCAGCACTTGGGAGGCAGAGGCAGGTGGATTTCTGAGTTCAAGAGTTCGAGGCTAGCCTGGTCTACAGAGTGAGTTCCAGGATAGCCAGGGCTACACAGAGAAACCCTGACTCGAAAAACCAAAAAAAAAAAAAAAAAAGATAAAATGGTATAAAAGCAAAAAGGAGGAGGGGGAATAGGATAGTTGGTTTCTAGGGAGGGGAAATGGGGAAAGGGGATGGCATCTGAAATGTAAATAAATAAAACATCCAATTTTTAAAAAATGCCCCCACCCAAAAGACAATAGAAAGCAAACTAGGACACAGGTCAAAGCAGCATTCCTTTGGAGAGGAGTCATTCTGATTTGCAATCTAATTAAAATGCAAAACAATGGAGGAGCTACAGCTAGGTCTTCACATGGGTCTCTCTACAACTGGAGGGGGCTAGGGAGCAGGGAGGCTAGCCCTCAATCTGCTGCCTGCTTGTGGATCCCTTTCCTCTAACTGGGCCACCTAACCCTCAGTGGGAGAGGATGCTCCTAGTCCTGCAGTGACAGGATGTGCCAGGGTGGGGTGATATCCAAGGGACATCCCCATTCTCAGAGGAGAAAGGGAGGGGATGAGAGGGGACGTGGGGCTCCAACTGAGATGTAAAGTCAATAAATAAATTAACAAACGGGAAAAACTTCTCTCTCACGATGATCTTTTTACTGCAGCAGACAATGGAAGCATCCAGAAAAATGCACGCTCAGCAAAGCTCCGGTCTGGGTTATTTACTCCACAGATTTCTTTAAAGCAATATTTATCAAATTTTCTAGGGAGTCTGGGAAGATGGCTTAGTCACACCTGTAATCCCCTACCACCAGAAGGCTTACAGGCCAGCCGGCCAGTCTAGCAAATCAGCCAGTTCCAGATTAGTGAGAGAGTGCACTCGTGCATGTGCGTGCCCGCATGCACGCAGTGAGGGTGGGGGGAGGAGAGAGAGAGAGAGAGAGAGAGAGAGAGAGAGAGAGAGAGAGAGAGAGAGAGAGAGTGTTGAGGTAAATTAGAATACAGACTTATCAGCTTCTAGATCAAGTTGTGGGACTTGATCTAGTCAATGAATAAGCCCTGTGCAGACAGACTGAAAGCCCCAGCAAGCAGTTATCGCTTCTGTGGCCATGTCTGCATTTCTTGCCTTTTCCTTAGCAATCTCTCCAAGTCATATCCCCAACAAAAGGCCATCACACCTTTGAAGTTTTACTACAACACTTCCATTCAGACTCACTACTTTCAGAAAATTTTCCTTATAATCTTTCTTTTAGAGGTGCAGACACAGAAGAGCAAAACCAGCCCAGATTTGGGAGACAGAACTGGGTTTCAATTTTCCATCTACTGTTTATAAGCTGACCTGACCTGGCCTGTTTTCCCATCTTTTTTTTTTTTTAAGGTAACATAGATTCCGTCTACCAACCATCATTTAGTCTATTTGCCAGAATCTGCACCAGTTGTGAGAGAGTAAAAATAAAAGAGATGCCGGGCAGTGGTGGCACACGCCTTTAATCCCAGCACTTGGGAGGCAGAGGCAGGTGGATTTCTGAGTTCAAGGCCAGCCTGGTCTACAGAGTGAGTCCCAGGACAGCCAGGGCTACACAGAGAAACCCTGTCTCGAAAAACAAAAAAAAATAAAAAAATTAAAAAATAAAAATAAATAAAAATAAAATAAAAGAGACTATCTGTATTGGTTACCTTTCTGCTGTTACAATAAAACATAATGGCCAAGGCAATAGAAGAAGGAATTTAGTTGGGCTTACGGTTTCATAGGGATAAGTCTATCATGACAGAGAGGTGTGGCAACAAGCATCAGGCACTGGAGTGGGACAGAAAGCTGGAATCTCAAATCTGAATTGCAAGCATGAGGCAGAGGGCATTAACAGAAAGTAGGGTTCCTACAAACATTCAAAACCAGTGATATGATTTCATCACCAAGGCCACGCCTACCTAAACCTCCGTAAACAGCGCCACTAACTGGAGGACTAAGTGTTCAAATGTTGTAGTCAAGGGGAGTGGGAGAGACATCATCATTCAAACCCCTATTGACTGACCTTTCCTTAAAGGAGGCAGTAGGGACTGAAGTAAAGACAAGAGTAAGATCACACACATACTGCAAGATACAGGTTCTTGGTAAGTATTGAAGCCTTATATTCTAATCCATTGGTGCTCGTGAAGCAGTCTATAGCCTGAGTTCTGACAAAACCCAGTAGTCTGGTCTCAAACTCACCTTGTGGAGACTGAGCCCAACACAGGCTTCTAGGAATCCTGTGAGCCATCAATGGAAAATAATCTCAAGTACTTACAGACAAGTTTTCACAGTCTTGGAGTTTAAAATTCCAAACTAGGAAAAGGGGATGATAGTACTTTGACTTATAGCATCATTTTGAAAAGCAAGTCTGACTTGTGTGACAAAAGCTTTAGGACTTTGAAGAAAGAAGTTGGAGAAAATATCAGAAGACAGAAAGATTTCCCAAGCTCATGGATCAGTAGGATTAATATTGCAAAAATGGCCATTCTACCAAAAGGAATCTACAGATTCAATGGAATCCCCAACCAAACTCCAACACAACTCTTCACAGGTCTTGAAAGGGCAATTTTCAACTTCATATGAAAACACCAAAAAACCCAGGAAACTTAAAATAATCATAAATAACAATGGAACAGCTGGAGGGATCACCATCCCCAATTTTAAGTTTTATTACAGAGCATCATAAAAATAGCATAGGGTTGGCAGGAAAACAAACACATCAATCAGAGGAATTGAATTGAAGATCTAAAAACACCTTTGAACACTTGATTTTTTTTTTATAAAGAAGACAGAAATAGATACTGGAGGAGAAAGACAGCATCTTCAACAGATAGTGTTGATCAAACTGGATGTCTGCATGTTGATGAATTCAAAAGCATCCATACCTACCATCCTGCAACAAAACTTAACTCCAAATGAATCAAAGACAAATATGTTTTTTGTTGAAAAATTATACACTGAACCTGATAGAAGAGAAAATGGGGAATAGCCTTGAACTCATTGTCACAGAATATGACTTTCTGAAATGCTGTTAGCACAGGTACTAAGATCAACAATTAGTAAATGAGACTTAATAAAACTGAAAAGCTTCTGCATGTCAAAGGCCACTGTTATTCAGACAAAGCAGCAGCCTACAAATTCAGAAAGGATTTTTTTACCAACTACACACCCAACAGAGAGCATGTGCGTGTGTGTGTGTGTCCAAAATACATAAAGAGCTCAAGAAATTAGATAGAAAAACAACCCAATTAAAAATGGGGAACAGCTATAAACAGAGAATTCTCAAAAGAGGAAATTCAAATGGCTGAGAAACACTTCAAGAAATGTTCTCTTTAGCTATCAGAGAAATGCAGGTCAAAACTACTTTGCAATTTCATCTTACACCCATCAGAATGGCTAACATCAATAAAAACAAATGACACAGCTCATGCTGGCAAGAATGTGGAGTAAAGAGAACACTCATTCATTGTTTATGGGAGTGAAAACTCAACCAGCCACTATGGAAATCAGAGTGGCGGTTCCTCAAGATGATGGGAATTGATCTACTTCAAGATCCAGCTGTACCACTCTTGAGCAAATATTCAAAGGACATTTCATCCTACCAGAAACACTTGTTCAACCATGTTCATTACTGCTCTATTCATAATAGCCAGAAATTGAGAAAACAAACAAACAAACTAGATGTCCCTCACCAGAAGAATAGATAATTTGCACAATGAACTATTACACAACCATTAAAAAGAATGAAATCATGAAATTCACAGATAAATAGAACTAGAAAAATAATTATCCTGAGTGAGGTATCTCAAACCCAGAAAGACTAATATTATATTATTCACCTATATGTGGATATTAACTGCTAAGTCAATAATAAACAAACCACAATCTATAGAACAGCAGTGGCTAGGTATAGAGTAAGAAACTAGGGTGGACAGATAAATCTTAGCAAAGGGAAATAGAATAGATAGTATTGGATAGATGTGGAGATGCTAGGAAGGTGAAGAGGGGATTTGGGAGAAGGGAATGGTGAAGAGAATATGGAGAGAGAGAACTAAAATTAAGGTCAATTGAGGGGTGGTGTAGAAACCTAATACAGTTGAAGCACCCTAAAATAGATACTTATATGCAGGTGACCCGAATAAAATTCCCAAATAATTGGGGAGACAGAACCCCAACTGGACATCTTTTGTCACCAAATAAAGCTTCCAGTACTGGCATTGGGCTACAAAGGGGGCCCATGGGAATCCTCAAATACCACAGGCTGTTGCCAAGACTATAGGTTGCTCTCCACAAACTGACAGCAAGTCCCCACTGTTGAAGACAACACCTACACAACTCATTGAGCATGGAGAAGTAGGGCTGGTGTCTGCATAGACTCTTTACCCCTACAGGATAGTATCTTTGGTACAGGAAGATTGCATATGCTGTATACTATCAAAAGAGAAGCATGAACACCAACCC